ATCAAGTCTGTATGTCTTGATAATGGTATTCAAATTATCCCATAAATCAATGTATGTCACATTATGAAAGTTTTTAAAGTATTTTATGTCAAATACTTAATATATACATAATTTTTATAAAATAGAATAAATTTAGCCCATGTTTATTTTCCATTATTAACTTATTAAAATGAAAAAATTTTCGTTATCCATCACATCAAATCACAATATTTGAATTTCTATCTTTTGTGTAGGGCCCATAACGATATTTATTTTTCATTATCTTTTTTACATTAATGTGTACCAAACGAGGCCTTAGTCTTATTCACTTATTTAATATTCATTTTTAAAAAAGCAAAATTGTAATTAGAAGAGTAAAAGAAACCCATAAATTTAAACACTTAAAAATTATATTTTTATTATAACTTTCCTATTTGGTAGGGATTAAAATCAAAATTTTAGTAGATTTTGATAAAAAAATTGTGGAAATATCTGATTTAAAAATTGTGAAATTCATTGATATATGGTTATATTCGATTGTTGACTTTAGTTTAAATTAACAATCATGCTCGATTAATATCAAGGTTGACATAAAATTTGATATAATACAATGTGATATTTTATCATTGGACAATTTAAAATACAATTAACTTTTTTATCCAATTAATAATTGACACATACAATTATTCAAGTTTTTTGTCAAATCATTCTAACAAAAAAATTTTATTTTTAAATTAAAATCTGATTTTAACCATAACTGCACAGGGAGTAAGCGTCCCAAATAAAGAGTCAAGTGACTAACCAATGGTACTAATAATAGTACACAATGATATTACACAGTGCTTCAGAAAATAGGCACCAGCAGGCAGGCAGCGGTACCACCGCCATTACTTTTAACTTAAAGGCGGCCTCTCCCTTCCCCTTCTTTCATTGGTAACAGTAACCAGCAGTTCTGCAGGCGCCGTTCCTTTTCTTACACCATACTCCTCTCCCTATAGACCCACATATTCTGATGAAATATTCGTAAACAAGAATTTGATACAAGAAAAATAAATCATGGTGAGTTCTTGATTTCTTTCCAATGAATATTCACTCATTTCTCATAATCTGCTCTTTCTAATTGGATTTTTTTTTTGAATGAATTATGTATGTATTTTATATTACAGTTAGAGGATAATTCCCAGTGTCCGCAGTGGATTTTAGGCCTTTTGACAGAGAAATTCTTCAACGCTTGCTTAATTCACGAGGATTTAAAGAAGAATGAGAAGAACATCTTTTGCTTAGACTGCTGCGAGGGAATTTGCGCTCACTGCTCCCAAGTTCACCACTCACATCGCCTCCTGCAGGTGTCCATGAAAAAATCCTTTCATTTTCGTTTTTGTATCTTGTTTTAAAAAATTTGTTTATATGAATATCTAAAGAAAGGTCTTTTCATATTCATAAACCATTTTTCAAGTATGAAATTTTAAATTCTTCAATTCCTTTTCTACCATCTGTCAATATCATGGATTATACCTATGCATGTATATTTCTTGAAATCGCTCTTTTAAAATTTTTACTTAAAGGTCTCTAATTATGTTTAAATTTCAGATAAGAAGATATGTTTATCATGATGTTTTGAGGCTGGGGGACGCTGAGAAATTAATGGACTGTGCTTATGTTCAAGTAAGTTGCTTATGTACAAGGGAGAAATTCAAAAGTGCAAAACGGCATAATTCTTAATAGGGTTCTTAAGAAAAAAGGTGTTTTTTTTTCTTTTGCAGTCTTATACAACGAACAGTGCAAAAGTAGTCTTCTTAAATCAACGACCCCAAACAAGGGCATCAAGAGGCTCTGGTAACATCTGCACCACCTGTGACAGAGCCCTGCAAGATCCATATTTCTTTTGTTCTCTCTCATGCAAGGTCCATAAATATCTGTGTAACACAAAGGAATATGTATTTTTTTTTTCGATTTTTAAATTCCAACCCAATTCATATTTTCAAATTTTCCAATCTCGGCCCCCTTTTTTTTTTTTTTTTTTTTTTAACAGCTTCAACATATGCTGAGAACGGTTGGCAATATTTCGGAGTATATTCGAAATTGTGAGTTTCTGGCGCTGCCTGAACCAGGATTTGATGATGGCCAAATGACTCCTGACTCGGTGCTTGAACCTTCCGGTTCAATGTTGACTGAGTCCGGTTCCAGCAGCAGCGGAGTTGATTGCCGGAATCTTACGTGCACGGCTACTACAGAAGTTGTGAAGAAAAAGAGAAGCAATTTGTCAGGCTTCCGGTCTGCATGTCGGCCAGGATGTGGACCGGATGTTTCAGAGACGATGATAAACCGGAGGAAGGGTACACCGCACAGGGCTCCGCTTTATTGATTTGCGTACTGACTAGCGATTGGAGAGGTTAGTCGTGGAAAGGAATATTGGGGTTTAAATGATATATTATTTTTTGTCCGAGGGTAATTTAGGTAAAACAGATCACTAATTTTGTAGATTATCCTATTTGCTCTCTTTCTTTGCGTAAGAGGTCTGTGTTGAACTGATATATTAACAGTAACTTTCTTTTACAGTGAAAAAGACAATAGGATCTCTTTCCACTGTTACTATTCTACAAGATATTTGGTATTACACAAAAGAACGTTTTCGAGTAGATTTAAACCACGAAATTTGAGCTCGACACCTAACTTCCTAGACCAAGTTAGGGGCAGCCGTATATCAAAATTATTATGGTTTGTCGTGGGATTTGAAACTTTTCGTGGATACATAATGTTATGTTTTGGGAATTGTTGGTTGAGTTTTGCTATGAATATTTATGAGTTGGCAAGCAGTTTGACCATCAGGATGTTTAAACCCAACGATATGTCGGACTAGTTGTACCAGAGTAGTTTACTCCCTCTAGGTTAAGAGAGAAATTTCATTAGGGCGGTTGCACCGCACGTGAACTGCCCTATTAGGTTAAGTCACCTCGGCGGGTGGCCCACTTTACACTCCTGAGTGTCACCCGTTGAGGTGGCGTCTCAGCATTGGGTAGGCAAACCATGCATTGAAAATTCTCTCCTAGATTATAACCCTTGTTTGACTCTCATTTTTTGGAAATGAGAATGTGGAATAGTATTTTATTGAAAAATAAATGATTGAAAAAGAAGTAAAAGTTTTCGATTTACGTGTAATATTATTTTATAAAGATTGTGGTTGAAAATAGGAGAGAAAAAAATGAAATAGAATAGAATGTAATTTAATGAGGGTCAAACAAGGTCATGGATGAATGTGGCAGGATTTTATTGGATGGATTAATTGGTATTTTTTTTTTATTTGGGAAAGATGGTACAAGATCTTGCGAAGTGTAAATTTTTGTGAGAATTTTGCTAAACGACCCTCACCGATGACCGCTCTCACATAGTGCACGGGTTCCACCTAAATAAAAAAATGCCGACCTAATGTGTGTGTGCGGTCATCCGTGCGGATCGTGTAGCATAGTCCTTTTTGTAAATGATTTAGGTGAGATTGTAGTACCGTTTTGCTATGAATATTTATGAGTTGGCAAGCAGTTTGACCATCAGGATGTTTAAACCCAACGATATGTCGGACTAGTTGTACCAGAGTAGTTTACTCCCTCTAGGTTAAGAGAGAAATTTCATTAGGGCGGTTGCACCGCACGTGAACTGCCCTATTAGGTTAAGTCACCTCGGCGGGTGGCCCACTTTACACTCCTGAGTGTCACCCGTTGAGGTGGCGTCTCAGCATTGGGTAGGCAAACCATGCATTGAAAATTCTCTCCTAGATTATAACCCTTGTTTGACTCTCATTTTTTGGAAATGAGAATGTGGAATAGTATTTTATTGAAAAATAAATGATTGAAAAAGAAGTAAAAGTTTTCGATTTACGTGTAATATTATTTTATAAAGATTGTGGTTGAAAATAGGAGAGAGAAAAATGAAATAGAATAGAATGTAATTTAATGAGGGTCAAACAAGGTCATGGATGAATGTGGCAGGATTTTATTGGATGGATTAATTGGTATTTTTTTTTTATTTGGGAAAGATGGTACAAGATCTTGCGAAGTGTAAATTTTTGTGAGAATTTTGCTAAACGACCCTCACCGATGACCGCTCTCACATAGTGCACGGGTTCCACCTAAATAAAAAAATGCCGACCTAATGTGTGTGTGCGGTCATCCGTGCGGATCGTGTAGCATAGTCCTTTTTGTAAATGATTTAGGTGAGATTGTAGTACCGTTTTATGTGGTGGGACTTTCGAATGGTGAGTCGTTACCTCATTAGGTGGCTCACTTAGGACAGTGGGATCGTTTCACAAATTTTTTTCCGTAAATAAGGGTGTAAAAAGAGTCTTATTATTCAGGGCATACTTTATTTCTAGGTGCAAATTTTAACGCATCAACATTTCCAAGTTATAATTTAGGTACTTACTATCATTTAGGGCATACTCTATTTCTAGGTGCAAATTTTAATACATCATCATTTCCAAGTTAGAGTTTAGGTGCATGTGGTGATCCAATTATGTCAGTCTCAAACCCCGAACGAGTAATATTTTAAAATAATTAACAATTTTTATGGCTGATATTTTAAATTTTAAACGAAATTATACTTATGTAAGTGTATTAATTTTAATATTTGGCTATTACAAAAATTTTAATTTCTTTTCGAAATTTTTCTCAAATACACATCTCACTACACTGATTGGATTGCCGTAGTGATCGAGGAGGTGGAAGATAAAGTGGCCCTCGCCTCACTCCGTCTATGAGGAATTAATGTTGCAATCTCGGTAGTGGTACGAAACCAAACCTGAAAGTAAATCCAAATATTGAAACTGAAATAGAGCATTTAATAATTGTGTAATTTTTCAGCTTGTCCATTGATGACATGTGTTCCCATTCACACATTACTTTCAATGGCAGTTTTCATGCAAATCGATGTTTGTACAGTTCATTTATTATCAGAAATGCAGCTATACAAATGTGTGCACCAATTCACACTAACAAGGACAGGACCACGTTTGTCTGTAACGAACATTGATTATTTGTTTGTATTGTACCGTAGAGTCGGCTCCGGTCTAATGTTTGGAAGATGCGGAGATCTTGTGGCAGTCTTTATTTCAAATTTAGCCTCTTTTTTTTTTTTCTTTTTTTAAATTTTAATTTTTTAAGAGGATGAAACGTTATAGCTGTAAAGACATTTCAAGTCAAATGAGGGTTCAGGTGCATTGAGCACGGGTATATACCCATTGGTGTAAGTCAGCTGTCTATAATTGCGAGTAGTGTTCTTCGTCAAGTAGTGTTTTTTGTCGAGTCAGTCTAGTCTTGCTTGGTGTGAAAAAATATGAGCCAACAAAGATCACATTGTCATTAGGCTATTTCTTTTGATATTTTGATTTGTTTTTCTAAAGAATGAAAAGATTAGATGAGCTCGGCACACATTGATTTGTTTAGGCCTTGGGTTTAGTTCGGAATCAGCACAAACTAGTCGACAATCTCGAATCAAACAGGTGTTAAGATGTTGGGGATTAGATGATCAGGTAGAATTTGAGCCCTTAAGGCATCTTTGACGTAGTCCATGATTTGCTATATAGATGACGTGAAATATATATATATATATATATATATATATATAGTAAATGAGCTTCAGATATCGTGTATTTTTTATTGTCAACTCGGTTGAGAGGTCATTATGTTCAAATCGTCTTCTCCTAAAGAATTGTAGGCGGAAAAGTGTAACAAAAATTGGATTTGGAGATATTAGAGGTAGAAATGTTTGCTTTAACAGTTTGCATCAGTTACAACTCATCTAGTGATTAGCACTTTATACATGATTTGTGTCTCCTAAATCATTCAAATTAAAATTTAAAAGTCATACCAACTGGAAGACAAATTTTACTGATAGTTTTGAGTCAACAAATTATGTCCAAGTAAATATCTTTGATGATGATTTTGTCCCTGACTTTTTGTTCCACTCCATTTCCGACCACAGCGCTACATCACATGTACAATTTTTAATCACGACCGATCATAATTTAAGTTACCCTACTCATGATTACGAAAACAAGTTGAGGTTAGATATTCGATTTTGCTATTATCATACTTTCAATTAACCAATCAAATAATTATATTTCAATTTTTTCTTAATTAAGTAATTTAATTTCAACGAGTAACGATGTTTTAATTTTCTAATTAATGTAACTTCGCCTTATTTCACCCTAGAAATTGATGATGAGGCAGTCAATAAATAATGGTCATTATGCGTAATCGTTAGTTGCTAATTTAAGATAAGTATAATTTAATAAGTAAACGACAACTATTTTTTTTTAGTGTCACGTCATCAAATCCCATCATTTCAAGTGATAGAGCGGGGCGAACTTATTGGATTGGAGTAAACTAAAATATAGTTACTTGATCGACACTAAGTAAATCATAATAACCGTGAACTAAATTTACCTTTTAAATCGTTGTCCACTTTAAAATACTTTTTATCTATATATTTTACGAGACTCATAAGTTTTATCTACTTATTCGTATCTTTTTTTTTATCTGGTTATAATTTGAAATGATTATTAATCGCTTACTAAGCATGTACTATAATCACAAGAAATCTTAGATGCTGNGAATATCTCAACCAAATTAATTTTTTTTAGAAGTTCGTTGTTTTTAATCAATACAATTCGATTTTCTATTCACTCATGATCTGTCCTGGTCGATTGGATCATGATATTGAGGGAAGGGAAGTGAATAAATTCACAACCCGAACCGTTTGATTCGAGGACCCATATCTTACCGCATTACTGATCCAATTAGGACTCTTTTTAATTGGGCTGAAATAAGTTTAGTAAAAAGAGTCTAATATAAATTGTGAAAATTACACAAAATCAGGGATCTAAACATCACAATTCAAAAATCAGGGTCGAAGTTTCATTATACAAAAATTAGGTATTGATTTAATAATTTAAATATTAAATATTTCACCCAATTCAATTTTCCAACCTTAATTTTACATTTTCTCTCTCTACCATCTTCTTATCTCCCTATCAAAAAAACACCACCATCATCAACGATTTACAATGGCGATGATTGACAATTGGCGACAGTCTAAATCAACCTCATCGGTGGTTATTCTATATATTCTCTCTCTTCTCCTCTGAAGCAAACCTTACTCTGTGACTCCAATCGTTCTTTGATCTCCCCGTCAGCAGCGTTCACTCACTTCGACGAAGCTGCAGACCTTGGCGTGAACACAGCTGTGATCGCAGCAACATCAGGATCAACTAAGCTGTGTTAGCGATGCTGCAGTCCTTGGTGCTGATGTTGGAGGGGGTTTGGAGTTTTTTTTTTCTCTCTTTCTGATCTGAGGAGGTTGTGGTGAATCGTAGATATGGGTGGTAGTATTGTGCAGTGTTGGCGGCAGCAACGATATGGGGATTATTTGGTAGAACCAGGTTGATTGGAGGTACAGGTGGCGAGGTGGTTGATTGAACTAGTGGTTGTGGTCACAAGAAAAGGTAGTCATGTTGGCGGTGGAAACGATGGTGAGGTTGTGGGTTGGGTATTGTTGATGTGTTTGGTGGTGACGGTCATGGTGGTTTCTGGCGACGGTGGAGGTGGAGGTGGAAGTGGTGGCTGTGCCGCTGTGCCGGTGATTTTTTGATCGGTGCTTGTTGGTGGTTATGGTGGTATCGTACAGGAAACGGTGGTAATTTTTGTTAGTAGTGGTTTTTTGCTGTATTGCGGGTAGCGGATGCAGTGTTCGTTTTGTTGATGGTGGTGATGCAGTGTACGCAATGGTGTGGTGCAAGCGACGATTGTGTGGTGGTGATTTGTGACCAAGATTGGTGCGGGATCGAGACCAGTGGTAGGGTGCTTGGTGCATGTGACCAATTATTTGGACTAACTATTAATTTGTGACTAATAAATTTGAAAATATGTAACTCATAGATAAACTGTAACATGTAATTTGAATGATCTAGAGTAAATTTAACCAATAATCACTGAACTTTATACTTGATTACTACTTGCTCACTCATCTTTCACATATTATTGAATGCTCACTCATATTTTCATATAATTACTCATTCATCACTCGTCTCTTCAAATAATTGGGCTACTTTTACGGCAAATTTTCGACAACTTCCGACCACAAAGAATGTCGAATTTTGATACTGTTGGAAAGCTCACGATGTTCTCTTCAATTACCACCCAAAATCTCATTATAACTCCAAGGGATTTGATCGAAAAATTGCCTTAAAAATCGCCAAAAAATTCAGAAAATCTGATCAGATTTTCAGATATTTTGGGTGACTTTTAAGGCAATTTTTCGGCAACTTTCGACCATCAAAACTATATAATTTTGATACCATTGAAAAGCCCACAATGTCCTCTTCAATTACCACCCAAAATTTCCCGATAACTCCAAAGGATTCGGTCGGAATAAACCCACAAAGTCAGTATCTTGAAAGGGCGAAAATCTGGACAAAGTTCGGGATGCTGACTTTGTGGATTTATTCCGACCGAATCCTTTGGAGTTATCGGGAAATTTTGGGTGGTAATTGAAGAGGACATTGTGGGCTTTCCAATGGTATCAAAATTAGATAGTTTTGATGGTCGAAAGTTGCTGAAAAATTACCTTAAAAGTCGCCCAAAAAATCTGAAAATATGGGCAGATTTTCAGAATTTTTGGGCGACTTTTAAGGCAATTTTTCGATCAAATCCCTTGGAGTTATAATGAGATTTTGGGTGGTAATTGAAGAGCACCTAAAATTTTTTTGATTTGTGGCCTCGAAATGATTTGCGACCTACAAAATTTTGATTTGTAACCACGAAATAATTTGTGATCAATTAATTTAATGATATATGACTAGGAAATGAATATGTGACCATTAATTGTATAACTGTGACTTTATTATATTTATTTAATAAATATTTTTAATTAATTAGATAAAAACAAGATATTTGCGTTAATTAAACTTGACACCTGATTTTTGAATTGTGCATAATTAAAACTTGCTTTGTGAATTTTTCCAATATAAATTTTCGAGGCATTTTATCACCTGAAAAGGAAAGAAAATAACAATTAAATATTATTCATTATATTCAAACTCATGAAGCCATAAACTAATTTAAAACTACGAGAAATTACACCAAATAAAAAACAGCGGAAAATTGAATAATTGGTCTCCAACTTATTGCATCAACACTAGTTAGTATCAATCTTTAAAAATAACTAAGTTGTTCTCAAATAGTTTAATATAATTTTAAATCATATGTGGTACGAGTCCAATTTTATGCAACTATTTTTTGACTTCTCGATTCAGATTGGTGTTTGAAAGTATGAAGTAATACTTGTTTCTAAGATAACCACGTGACAAGTTAACACGAATTTTGAAAATTAAATTTGTTGATTTTGACGCATCTACTTTGTTGACAATCGATCTTCGATCTAAGTTAAAACAGTTTGCTGACCCCACCTCAAGCAAATGTGAGTTCGGTCCATGCTCCCAGGTCGGACAGTCCCGCTGTTATCTCAGAAAAATATCATAATTACCCCCTGTTACATTACTTTATCAATTGCATACAGTTGTCACAGGTGACATCATCACCGTCCAAAACCGTCAATCCTAAGTCCTAAATCTGAAACTCCTTGCAAGTCGTCATTACCTAAGGAAAACATTGACACATAACCACCAACCTCGTCAACCAATCACAAGAAAATTCGACGGCCCGAGTTCCGAGCTCGGTACTGTAGCTGATTTGATTGATTTGATGTAATTTTGACTGAAACTATGTATAAATAATTGAATAGGACTCTTGTAAAAGGCAAATGAATTCATATAACAACTGATAACACAATTACACTTTCTCAACATATTTTGTGATCTTTTTCAACAATAAATCCCCATTTTTCTTAAAGTTGGTTTAAGATTAGCCTTACTAATTTTGACGTTAACATACTTCATTTACAACGACATTCATTTCTAAAACGTGTTATTCTTTGCTTATTTTAAATGAAAGTTTACTTTAGAGTAGCCTTATTATTACTTATTTTTGGCAAACAACAAACAATAATGAGCTTTATTACATAAAACCAAACCTAGGTATTAAATATGATTAAATTGTATAAACAAGATTTTTCCCTTCTACAATACAGTTCATTCAATCGTTTGTGGTAAAGCATGGCGTGAATGTTTTGTTCCATCTATTATCAAATTGTATGCAATGGATATTCTAATAATACGTCCTGAGTAGGAATCAATTTTAACAATTTGCAGAAAAATCTCACACGTGAGTCAACCCTCAAAACCCTACTTTAGTGTAAATTGTGCACTACATAATCTACATTAGGTTACAGACGAATGTTTTACGATAGATTTTTGTATTTCGTCAATTAAAAAGATAGGAAGATACTTCTCTAATTTTCACTTGATCGTTATTTCACATTTAAAATCTAGGGTCATGTGACCTATATTATTAATTATATATATATGTGCAATAAGAAATTGAGCTACACCGTTGATTCAATTGAAAAATCAAGGATTGATTAAAAGTTGCACCGATTTTTAGGTCAAAAATTGAAAATTCAAAACCATTAAACGCACCTAAGAACCAATTTGTTTATCACCAAAACCGACCAAGCCAGTAAGAATACTGGCTAGTTCACCTCTAAACTGTCTATTGACAAACAAAATTAATCAACACACAGAAATAAATTCTTATTATTATTATTATTATTGTTATTATTTACGATAAGTTCAATGTCAATTCAATAATCTTGACTTACAATTATTTTTTCATATCGGGATCAATATTTCATCTAAGCTTTATCCAAAAGTAGCACAAAATATTGACCCAGAAGTTGATGTGAACTTTGTAACGTAGATTGGAATGGACATTGACAAGAAGCCAGCTCAGATGATAATTGATAAAGCAGTTGAACGAAAATGAAGCTTTTTCTTAAAAAAAAAATTCTTGGAAAGTATCTGAAAAATATAGCTTCATTCATTTATTTGCTATGATAAAATACAGATCCCAGGAAAAAACAACCCTAAATTTCAAATTTTCGGTTCCCCATTTGTCCTCCGTAATTCTCCGAATTTTTGTAATCTATCATTTAGTGTGTGTACGCGCGTGTTATTTTTAATTTATTGATAAAAAAATAAAGAAAAATTCTAGAAAACGAGCATGGGCGATTTTCTCTATGTTCAACCCTCGGAACTGAAGTTCCCATGTTAGTCCTTTTTTTTTTTTAATTGTAATATTTTTTCTTCTAGTTTGGTTCTAAACTACGTCGAAATAGTTTTGTTAAGATTCTTTTGATGTGAGCTTTTCCTGGTTGAGGTTTTTTATTAATTTAAGACGGCAAATATTTTTATGCCTTTTTTTCCAGTAAGGAAACGTAAAAAATTGTTTCCTCTATGTTCTATTTTAATAATTTTATCCCGATATGGTGTGATTTTTACTGTTGGGATTGATTATTTTTGTGCTGGTTTTTGTGGCCTGTGATGATGAAGATGAATTGAGAAAGCAGAGTTCATGTTCAGTGCAGTTGATTAATAAGACTGATCAGTACATTGCTTTCAAGGTATTTTTCTTATTTTATTGCGGATTATAGTTAATAGATCGAACGCTCTGTTAAGTAAGTGGTGATACTTAAATCATTGTTTTGATTAATGTATTTTTAATGAAAAAGGTCAAAACAACCAGCCCAAAGAGGTACTGTGTTCGACCAAATGCTGGTGTTGTCTTGCCCAATTCTGTATGCAATGTCACCGGTATTGATTTAATGATTTTCCAATTTTTCATATGTTTAGTGTAGGATTGGTTACTCACATTCGTGTTTTATATTTTGAGATCAATAGTTATAATGCAAGCACACAAAGAGGCGCCCGCTGATATGCAGTGCAAGGACAAGTTTCTAATCCAGAGTGTTGTTGCTCCCAGTGGCACAACAAACAAGGATATAACAGCGGAAATGGTGGGGTATAGCTTTCTATAAAAAAAAATTGATTTGTGAAGCTTCCTTTAACATGGTTATTCGGTTGGAATTAATTGTTCAGTCGATCTTTTTAAGTAGTTTAACAGGAAGGAGGACAAGATTGTCAATGAGGTTAAATTGAGGGTTGTCTACATTCCCGCTAATCCGCCCTCCCCTGTACCAGAAGGAGATGAAGAAGGTTCTCCTAGAACATCTTCAGTTGAGGATGATAATAGAACGACTTCGTTACCTGAGGCTGTAAGTTCTTATTGCATTCCTTCCGCTCCCATCTACTCAACTTTGGGAACAAATGTTTCACTGTCTACAAATTTATTAGGTAACAAGATTGTTGGACAAATCCAATGGGAAATCATCATCATCCGAGGTAAGCAATTATTTTTGGGATGTCTCATTCCAATGTCTGCAGTTATGTTGATAAATAATCATGCTATATAAAGTATGAAGTCCATGAATAGTTCAGGTCATATCAATCCGATGTCATATATATAAAGCACCTTGTCAAATGTATTGGTTTAGCTGGAGACTTTGTCAAACACTAGTTTATGATTGCGATTTTGAAGTTGCATAGGGTTGATACATTTTGGCTAAGGAAATTACTAGCTATTGTCTCTTATAGAACGGGAGTATTTTTAGTAATAGTTCTGATAAAGGGTATTGATTGAAATCTGTTGCAGACCAGTTCTCCATATTGTTCATTGAAACCGGCTCCGATATAACGAATTATTAGGACAACGGACTTAAATAGTTTAGCAGAATCCACATGTTATTTGCCATTAAACTACTTCGTTAAGTAAAAACCTTTCTTCATAAAAGCGTTGGATCTTTTGCATGGCTCTCATGTTGACAACTCTTTCCCCTGGAAAGCTTGCGTTGTATTTAATCCATATCAGACGATGTTTGAAACATATTACTGATGAAATGAAATGAAAAGGAGGAAAGAACTTTAACTGTGAACAAAAACTTCTTTTACAAGAGGCTTTAATTCAAAATTTATTACTATAATCTAAATGAACTAATTACCAACTATTCCTTAGATTGAATTGGGTCCATAAGAAAGTTTTTCATTGAGAGTTGCTCTTTAAATATTAAATGTTGTTTGAGGGTTTAATTAATATTGACACATTTATGGAGATCTTAGTATTTCCTCATCATATTGTGTGGCTTTGTGATACGATGTGTTCAGATATGTTGATTAAAGTTGAAAGCAATCACCTATTGAAATGGTCGAAGACATGGTTGCTCTATATAATGCTTTTGAAATTCTTGGATTTTGATAAACTGAAATTCTAACATTTTGTTGACATATATTTGTAGATATAATTAAGATATATAATGTGAAATCGGCATGATCTGGTTTAATAGGAAACTTTATAGATTCAGGTGCTTCCTTATTTTCTTCTTTATTTTTTGGCAAATTCCTTTGTCAGTTCTACTAAAACAGGACGTTCTTGTTTCTTCATTCTATATTAGAATGGAGGCTCAGCTTTAAATTTTTTGTTATGCATGGACTTAACAATTGTTTCGATGGACTAACAAAATGTTTGCCTAAGCTTAAAACTTATTTTTTTAAGTCTCTTTTTGTTTCTAAACATATCTGGATAGGTTACATTATTCTTATGTATAAGTAGAAAGAGTTTCCTTTTTTTAATAGTGAGATAGAGGTTACTTCCAAAATAACTTATTTCATACTTTGACCAACAGAAAATATATATTAATATAAAACTTATTTACTGGTAAGTAAACTCTTAAGCTTAGCAAAACATTCAATTAATTCACCATTCAAAAGGATTCCTTGTGTTGAGGGTTTTCTAATTATGTCCGGAAGGTTGTGTCGATGTTTGTTTCCTTTAAGGATATTTCTTTTTATTTATATGCTGAGTGATTGTGGATTAGTTTATTATTGTGCAAAATATGAAACTACTTTTGTTTGGATTATATTACCATTTTACTGTTATTTTGTTCTGGATGGCTACTATAGTTGAGTTTAGATGTTTCGTGATTTTGTTGCTCCAACTTTTCTTATCGTTTCTCGTTTCATATTGAAAGTGGAATTGTAATTTTTATAATATCTTCTGTCTGTAGGCAAAGTCTAAGATCTCAAAGATAACCGAGGAGAAAGCTTCTGCTATTCAACAAAATAAGAAGCTCCAGGAGGAATTGGTATGTTCTTAAAGACTTTACACTTGGATGAGAGCTACTGCTGAAGACCTTGCTTCACCCATAAAACAAAAACTTGCTTAAAAGCATTTTGAACTTATTTTTATGCTTATGCTTCTTAGCCAAACAAGAAGCATGTTTGCAGAAGTTGAGTAGGTCATAATTACTACTTTCTGGATTCAATACAAGTGTTCGGATAAAATTATTATTAACGTTTTTAGGAGGAATAGTATTGGATGGTTCCACGAAACGGTAGTAGTTGTGAATGTGTGGTAGAAATTGAAGTTAGGCTTTGACTGAATAGAAAATATAACTTTCTAGTAACTTTCTATTTTACACAAATAGAGGCATTTTGTAGGTTCTTTATTACCTGGAATATGGCATTATTAGTTTCTTCAAAATTTCTCAGTTAAAATTTAATAGTCAACNAGGCATTTTGTAGGTTCTTTATTACCTGGAATATGGCATTATTAGTTTCTTCAAAATTTCTCAGTTAAAATTTAATAGTCAACAGTCATGGATCCATTGAGTTAGGCATCAAAGAATGACTTTCGTCATCTCTCAGCAACTTTACTTTCATTTTTAGTCCAAACATTCCTAAATCAGGAAGAAATTAAGACTCGTAGGTATTATGAGGTCATCTCCTACAATTCCCAATTGCAATTTGAGAGTTAAAAATGGTTCAAAAATAGAAGAATATGAAAACAGTAACGAGTCATTTCCACTTTTTCTTGTGGGGTGTGGAAGTTTTGTCTATAGAGGTTGACAGTGTATAAATTCATTGATTTTATCATCCAATTTACCAAAAAGGATGATTCTCTAAACTTGCTTCTTCTTGTATATGCAATAGTTTTTGCAGATTTCGATACCAAAACCAATTTGTCAATGGACTTTCTAAACATGATTCATGTTTTACAAGGTAGGCACATTTTCATTTTGTTTAGCTTTCTTTACTTTCGTTGGACAGGAACTGCTGAAGAGACAAACAGGTAAAACCCGAGCTGGTGGCAGTGCCTCCATGTTTGTAGTGCTGGTTAGTCTATTCCTAGGTATTCTGGTTGGTTACTTCATCTACAGGGCTTAAAGACTGGATTAAGCAAAGCTGTAATTCTTTGTTAAATCATCGTACACGTGGATGATGTTTTGACTCTTTCGTTAGTTTTTTCTCCGTGGAATTTGAGATGTTTTCTTTTTACTAATAAATTTAGGTCCTTCATGTATTACTGAATTTCAGACTGACTTGTTTGGAACAATTACTTATTTTCCTTGTTAGATCAAATCTACTTATTTTCTTTGTTAGATCAAATCTGCTTATTTTGATCTGAACATAAAAAAGGATGGAGTCTTGTTTAACATTCCAGGTATTGCATTCAATGTCATTAGTTGCATGTGAGGATTAAAACTAAAAATGAGAGAAATTTTGTTTTTTCAACCCCCACTAAATCGACTTGGACTTGAATTGGCCTTTGTACGTGTCGATATCGTGTTGACATCGGACACATCAAATACTAGTTTGTCTTTCCCGTACGGGTGTCCATACATCATAGGTATTACTAAGAAAGGTTGAACCTCAACCTTGAGGGCTCCCACCACCCCGCTCCTAAAGCTTTGTGGGAGGTAAATCGCGGGATGTACTCTAGAAGGCCCGGGAACCGGACCAATATCCGGCTGGTCATTGCTTTAAACGGTTTTTAATTAGAACCATATCCTAATTAGAACCCACCCCGCCAACCCGTTCGGGATAGGTTTTTTTGCCATCACTTTACCCTGTCCTATCAATTTATTAAGAAATAACATCAAGACCTCGATGCATCTATAAAACTAAACAATGACATTTGCTTCAAAAGAATGAGAATTGTGTTGGTTTATTATACATTCTATGATGTCTTTGTTTGGTATGGTGAAGTTGACACATATTCAGTACACATTGAATAGAATCTGAAAATGCAATGTACATAGTTTACTTTTTTAATTCATAACTTTCACAAATCTTAATCACATTACCAAACATGTCACAATAATTACAAGAAATAACAGAATGTTTAAATTGAGGACTCGTGAGGGTTATCACAAGTGCCTGCTTATCTCATTGTAGACCTAGTTTTTATAGACAATTTTTCCAGAAATAATTCTCTGAACCCAGCCCACCCTTTATCAGCAAAAAATTTGAAAAGGGTCCTAAATATTTCTTTGAGTCCTTCATCCATTCCTGGTTCTCCCACTTGGGCAGCTAGCCAATCTAGGTACCCAAACTGCAAAGAAGCACAAATGACAAATGTAAATTGCGTGTGCGTGCACTAAAAATATAGGGGAAATTGAATAATGATGGAAACCTCGTCAAAATGTAGGCTATGAGTTTGGTATTTGGGTCTACCAGCTTCCTCCATATGCTGGTAATGCTTTTCGATGTCGATCAACATCTCCTCTTCAGAAGGTATAAGTACCTTACCGGATAAAACACTCGCCACCCACCTTGCTTGAAATTCTACCATATGGAATACAACCACCTGTTTTGTAAAGAAATTTTTTACATTGAACTATAATTTTTATCTCATTTATAAAATGAAGAAGTTATTAGAAATGCTCGTAAATTCAACTCACTGCATAAGGTATTCCAATAAAAGAGAGGGTAGGAGATAGCTTTGGGGGGAAAACATGCTTGTAAAGGGGTCCAACCCGTCTATCATCCACAGTTACAATTCCATTTGTTTCTAGGAATGGAAAATCATAGTTGAACCTGTAAAAATGTGCCAAATATGATTTTAAATCACGAAAAATGAAAGACAAAATGGGAAAATATAGGGATAATACCCTGTACAGTGGAGAATAATATCAGCATGGACGGAAGCACCATCTTGAAAAGATACCTCTCCACTTTCGTAAACACGTTCAATCTGCAGACCAAAGAGTCTTAATCATTCTTCCCAAATTAAGGGCACAAACAAACTGAATAGATATACTACATTTTTATTGAATGATTGTATGGTCGTCTCATCTAAAAATCATGCTGTAAAAAAGACTAAATATATTCATATTTTCAATAATGTTAATTGCATTTGTAAAGCGTTTTCGAACAAAAAGAAGAAACCTTGGGGATAAATGATAATATAGTTCAGGGCTTTTTCATTACTACATTTTCATGTACAAATTCTCTTCGTCAGTGTGTTCATTAAAACAATTATCCGTCTACTCTAACTGCTATTGTCAAAAGATTCCAATCAAAATTCTATGATGATGATGAAGTATATATCTTCTTATTCAAAATGTAAAACAATGAAAGACAAAACACGAAGCATGGATTACTAAAATCAAAGGTTGTTGAAGAATTTTACCTTTGAATGCTGCCAAGTATTGTCGTGATAATCCAACTTTGAAACTTTAACATTGGGGGATCTTGATGAAAGATGAACCTCTTTAGCTAACTTTGCAATTTCCTTGGAGATATCATGCGCACTGGCACTATGTCCAATCACAACCACAACCTGTATACATATATATGCATATAAATGGGTCGCGCACACATATAGGTGAACCATTTTTCATGCTTTAATGATGCTCTTAACATATATGATCAAGAAAATTCGACAAAGAGGAGCTTACCTGATCCTGAAATGGTTCAGGAACTCTATAGTTGTGGCTATGAATTTGTTTCCCAGGCCATTTTTCGATGCCTAAACGAAGCTAATTAGTTAGTAGCTCTGTCCAAGGGAATATGTACACTTCCTAGAAAATAAAAGCTTCTTTTCTTCTCTCTTTAAACAATTATATGCGAAGGCTCGAATTATTTAGGATTAAGTCCAGATTGATTATCTTCAAGATGGTTTAAAATTAAATCAGATACAAACATATTTTTACTGAGCTCCTAAAATCTTTTAATTTCATGCTTCATCAAATCGTGTAGAGTCGCCGTATATATGTATTCAATTTACTATTGAAACTTGATTTATAGTTATGAAATGGTACGATTACTCTATACCTGGAATATCCACTGCGATTCTTGGTTGAGTGTAGTGACCATTACACACTACAACAGCATCAAACGCCTCTTCCAGATTCAAATCATTCGTTTTTGTTCTGGACTCAACGATCCACTTATCATTGACTCGTTTAACTCGGACAACTTCTGTATTGAACCTAATCAACTCATCGAGTCCAAAATCCCTGGCAAACTCGTTCAAAAACTTGAGCACCTCTTCATGACCCGGGAAAGTCTTCAGTTCACCATTTTTCCTGATTTCAAACGGATAATCTGAAAATCCCATAAGTTGTCTGGGAAAATTAGTGCAGAGAGAAGAGTATAGGCTGCTATGTACAATCTCTCTGTTAGGATCAAGGCCGAGTGGATCG